AGTCATGTGTCCTGTTATAAATGGCTTAGGACATGATGGTCTGTACCCATGCTCTGAAAACCGCTGAGGTGGTGGTGGTATTCAGGCCCTGAAGATATGTGGGCTGTGTTTAAATGATAGACTTGCAGAAGCAGAGGATCCTAAGTGATTCAGGAACGTTAATAAAACACCCACACAGCTTTATTTTGAAAATCAAAATGACTAGTTTTAGTCCGTCTTCGTTCACCAGATGTGTTCTGCACTAATGGAAAAATCACTTCTTATCCTGGAGATACAACATGGAGTAAGAGGAAATATCCAAATTGAGGAACATTTTCGATCTTAACAGTCACCAGAACATGTCACCACTGAAGGATTTTTCTTCATCTTCTGTTCCAGTGAAAGACATAACATTTTGGTTTTACCACCACTTTCTGCCACAGGGCAAACTGGGACAGATGGAGAAGGTGAATGTTCCCAGTGGGGACATAGGGATCAGAACAAGGTTGGTGGGTGTTCTAACCATTTCCCACTCTGTCCACAACAAGTTCAATCATACTGGAAACCTATCAATACCTGACTTGATTCAACCAAGCCACCCTTATATGTTGGATGCTCAATAGTGTAGAATAAACATGATCACCCTTGTATTGCTTCTTCGTGAAGGACAGAGAAACAAACTTGCCACTGGTGTAGATCCTTTGTTTTGGTAGGAGTGGACATTTAAACTCCATTACAATTTCTTACCTTTTAGAAAACAAACCCTTGCCTTTATCAACCCAATTTGTGTTTCTATGTTCCTATCTGGTGCTGTTTTGCACCATGGTAGTAAACGTCACCAGAAAAAGACATTTGGTAATTTGTGCTACTTTTTTCTTTTGTTTACATTGTACTTAAATTTCCATAGAAAATAAGTAGATAGTGAAGCACATGATGACTCAGATGATTCATAAATTTATTTGGGACACTGTCAACATGAGGAACCAGAATTTCCACACAGTTCCTAATGGCATATTTGTCATCCTTTCTGTAATCTGTCTTTCTGCCAAAGCTTTAGAGATATCTAGCGACTGCTGCAGCCATTAATTGACTAGGACTGTGTGCCCAGGTATGAGCCACCTCAAGGCTTGGTGACAACATACTGTCCTAGAATATTGAACTAAACATTGGTTTTGATTTATAATGGCTTCCCTGAATCTCCTCCAGTCTTCAGCTAGAGATTTCTCATTCAAGGCCTTGTGGAGTCACTTGGCTGCATGGCCAGCAGACGGCTGGACAGCCGACAGATTATCCGAACATTGGCAGGTAGACCGAATCCAAGACTGGCCTTGAAAGTGGACGGCGCATTGACATGGGTGAGGGAGCAAGCACAGGAGGTGGCTGGCAGCATTTTATTACTCGCACGCCACTGCAAAAGTCCTGAAAGCGTGGACTTAACACATGAATGGACACTTCAGAGGCTGACATGCCATCACTGGCGCTCGGAATGGAACAAAGACTTCTCTCATGAAAGCAGCAGGTCCCCACAGCCTGGCCCGGTGCATTCTCTGACTAGGAGCAGTAAAAACCAGCCACCCAGAAACCCCCAAACCTATTCTTAACCTCCTCTTCCCCTGTATGCCATCCCTGATTGGGCGCCAAGCGCGAGAGGCAGCTGCGGGGCTCATTTAATATGCACACCTGCTCTCTCTCTGGGCCTTTTGTGAGGAACGGCAGATGCCCCGATTTAATTCTGTGCTTTCTTTTCACTCTTTCTCTGGCCAGGATAATGCATTCTCATTAACTCAAAATGTCTCCGATACCCAACAAATTCTCTCACAATCCCTCAACAAAGCAACCCTGAGCAGACTAAATTGGAGGGAGTTTTTTTTCCCCTTTTCCTGAGAAATAACATTGCATCCATACTTTTTTATGTAGCTGTAAAACTGCACCTGTAGAATTTTTGTCCCATTTTAATGAATGATTCTGCAACACGGTGCAAAGAAAATGTAATATTTGTTGCGATTATTTCATGCTTTAGTAGCACACATTTTAAGTGTACATAAAGCCAAAACCTTTCCTTTAGCTGTGGACAGGACTTGTCTGTGCTGGCAAGATGTCCCTTCACTTCCTCTCCAGAAATGCAACAGGAAGTAAGAAGCGATCTCTCCAAAGTCAGGGGTAATTGTCACCAGAAGAAGTTTACTTATTGGAAGTTTAAACCTCTCCCCCCTCCCTGGTGACAACTTAAAATTTTGAATATCCCATCACTTCCTATACTTGGAGACATTGATCACCAGAATGTATAGTGAGAGATGAGGCAGGTTCTAGCTGTTCTGCTTGAATGATTAGTGCTATATAAATACATTATTTATCACGGAACATATGGGACTGATTGGCTACACTGAATTTTCTGGATTTGGAATTTTCATGCTGTGGCCAGCAAATATTTCTGACAATGAGGGTGCATATACGGTACTTGAAAATAGCCGTGTGTGTGTAATTGAATTACAGATGTTTATCAGAAATGCTCTATCTACACTAAACCTGAATTCTGCTTGGTTGCTGGCAGTTGCACTTTGCACATCCTACTTAATCTTTGCACTTCCAACTTAACTTTGTGCTACTGTATACGTGTTGCTGTATATCTTTGCATTCCGTTTGTTTTTTCACAATGTTATTTGAATGTTACCTCAGTGGTTAATACTGTGGCCTTGCAGTGCTGAGGTCTTGGGTCCATATTAAAAGAAAATGCCCTCTCTGCATAGTGAGGTTCTTCTGAGTTTTTAGTTTTTCTCCCACAATCCATACAATTATTGGTGCTTTGATCTTTTTTACACAGCATGGACTTTCTGATTGACTTTGATGTAAAAGTCAATAGATAATAAACTTGTTATGTATATAACAACCTGCAACATTACGATCCTTAATGGTAATGGAGGCTGCAAAGTGCATTTTCTAACAGTTGGGCAGTCACTTAACTATTGGTGGATCTGCCTGTACAGTGGCCTCCTGTGCAGTTAAGACCATAAAATCTGTTTTGTGCATGTAAGTAAGGTATATCTCTGTCCTCATTTGCCATTATTGCGTTACTGGGGCAGAATTGAGGGGGTTGTTATTTGAAGTTCAGTTCACTTCAAGTAAGTTTGTGTATAAATGTAGTTTTTGTTTTGAACTGTGGATTGTTGTATGCATTTATTGAAAGTTATGATTGCAGGCCAGGGAGAGTAATAGTATCCCTTTTTTTTTTTTTAATAAGTTGCTTTGATTGCACAAGAGCGCTAACAGATGGTCCCCTCTGAAATACTTTACAAGCAGTTTTACAGCTCTGTTGGGGATAGAGAGCCACCTTCGCTCTAAGTGGCTGCAACTTGTGTTTTTCCACAAGTTGTGTGGAAAAGGTGTGAGGACAAATCTGACATGAATTCCCTAAGAGTTCTGCCCTCCTGACTATATAAGCAGATGGGACATTCGTTGTCAAGATCCATATCATGCGCTTACAAAGACAAAGATTTGCCCACAGATGTCAGCCTCCTCCTCCTCTCCTTATGATGGTTTTCTGTCTTTGTGAGTCTTTAGAGGAGCCAAAGAGCCCACTGACCTCTCCAACAAACATTCCTAAGCCAGCTTGCTTACCCTAGTGGTGGCACACCAAATTGTTGAAACCATTTGGCTGAGGAAACCAGAAGGTGTCTGAAACTTGTGCGTCAAATTTCCTCTTGTGCTTTGTTTTTGGAAAGTTAATTGTCTTTTTACTTTTGTCTCCTGTGAGATATTGTTATGTTTGTCTAAAAGTGCAAAAGTTACACATTTTGAAGTCTGATTGTCGCTCTTTGGGGAATGAGTTGATGAAATATCAATGCTTTGTAATCTGTACCAGCCAACACAGGGATCATACAAGCGCCTCATAAAGTTTACATTTCACATAAATAAATGTACAGTGTTTTTACTGTTTCACTGTTGATATTCTTAAACGGCATCTTTTTAGAACTATTTTGATTGGCCCAGCTTAGGCCTGATATAAATGGGCAGGTTTTTACCCAAGGTAGAACAGAAAATTCCAGAGGTTTTACCTCCTGACGTCTGAAAACTAGAACATTTTCTACACTTTGGCAAGCTTTTCCATACAGCAGATCCCAAATCTTAGCAACCATCAAATCTTTGGCCGCATTCATTTGAGACCCTTAAGGTCATAGAGGCACCTCTGGGCCCTTTCCTATTAATTGCCTGAGAGTGGGATGTCAGGCTGTGTTTTGTTTGGTTTTGACTTTGTTGACTTTTCATTTTTGGGAAGCTCTGTGAGCGGTGATCCAGACGAGTTATATAGGCGTCTTGTGGGGGCAGCACGTTCACAGAAAATCTCCCTTTTAATGTGATAATTTATGAGGTCCTCCCTTTTGGTGGGCAGTGTGCTGGAAACAGGTGGTAATATTGGGTCACACTTCTGCACCTTCTCCCCTGTCTGCTTACAAGGCCTAAACAGTTTTTAGAAGCCATTCATGCCTTTTAGACTGAGCTCTGAAATTACATTACAGGATTAGCAACCTAAGGCATTTCATCACTTAGAAGAGCTATCTTTTATGATGCACTAAAACCAGATTTCACATCTTGCAAAAAGTAATTCTAGCCTCGGCTGAATTGGAGGAAGTAAATTTGGCTTAAGTTATAAAGCAAAACAGTTTTCTAAATGCGGAAGTCAGAACTGACTTATCAGACTGCAGGTAACTGGGATCCGGTAACCATGGTTACTGTGCATTATCACTGCTCTAATGTAATATGTTAAAGAGGCACTCTACTGTATTCACAATTAAGGCAACGCTATGTAAATCTATAAAGATAGCCAGTTCATTTTAGCAAAGCCTCTTCAGATGGGCAGGGCTCATAATGTGCATATTTGCTCATCTCATAAGCCAGACACACAACATTATTTTGTTTCCCTTTTGTGTCTGTTGTGCTTTATGATCTTTAACTGTCAGGAGGATTTTTTAAAAAAAATGTAGAATGCTGAAAGTCTAATTCTCTTTGCTAATCTTTTTTAATAGATGTCCCAGTTCCTTCATTGGAGATCGATGTCAATTCTCCAACCCATGCTCCAGAAATCCCTGCCTGAATGGAGGGACCTGCAATGCTGAAGTCCGAGGTAGTGATGTACAGTTCACTTGCAGCTGCCCACTAGGATACCAAGATGCACGCTGCCTTACCCGCAAGGACAACGCTTGCCTCAGCAGCCCATGTCGCAATGGAGGAACGTGTGAGCTGGTCATAAATGAGAAGAATTATAGGTGTAGATGCCCTCCAGGGTGGACAGGTATTGAGAGAGATGATCGAAAAAATTTTGATTCAATTGCCTTGCCTTCCGTTATATGGAGCTAAAAAAATGGGTTGGCCTTAAATTTTTTTTCAGGTTTTTATTTCTGTTTATGACCCCATTGGGGAGATTTTTTCTTAACTTCCTGTCCCTGTGACATCTGTACAAGGAAATGGAGGTGCAGGAGGCCACAGGAAACAATAAAGTAATTCTGACCCTTCTCTACACTAATTGAATTATTGTTTTGTGTCCCCAATAGAGAGATTTCCAGTTACTTCCTGCACAGACAGGAAATAAGGTGAAACCTGCCCAGTAGGTACACGGGTAGTAATTAGACCACACAGAAGCTGTAATCCGTCTCTGCTGTCTGAAAAACTAAATTAAAGGTTTTGGCTGGGGTTAGGCTTAGAAGACATCATAAGGTCCTAGATTGTTCCTTAATCATCTTTTTTTCATTGCCCCTGAACCTTCAGGAATACCACAACTTTGGTGTATGGGGAAAGAAGGTACATCTGTTCTGCCCCCTAGAATGACCTATCATCATGCCCTTTCACATGGGTTGGGAGATGTACGTAAGCCTAGCCAAATGACATTCAGAAAGTCATACTTTGCATAAGAACTCGGCAGGCTGCTGGTGCTTCAGAGAGGTTGCTGGTGAAGACAGAGGGTTCCACTTTGTACTGTAAATGATAAAGTATGGTATTTACTCTAAATCCTCCATTACATATCTAAAAGGTCTGTATTGTAAGCTGCTGATGTAAATTTCTCCCCCTTGTGTATTCACTAGTCAACCAGGCCCATTCTGCCAAACTGTAAACTCTTTATGTGCCCTGATTGAACCCAGTATATTGTAACATTAAGAATGTCAAAGCGTTTTTTTATTTTTTTCTATTTCAATTATCCTATATTCTGAATTGTGTGCTCACATTGCAGGAGACACTTGCCAGCAGGCTGACCCATGCGCCTCCAACCCTTGCGGCAATGGTGGAACTTGTGTCCCATTCGACTCCCAGTATGTGTGCAAATGCCTGGAAGGTTTTCATGGAGAGACCTGCAAGCAGGACATCAACGAATGCAAACAGAATCCGTGCAAAAATGGTGGAACCTGTGTTAACAGCTTTGGATCTTTCTCCTGTCTGTGCAAGAGTCGTTATACTGGCAATTACTGTGAGAACCCATATGTGCCATGCAACCCATCACCTTGCCAAAACGGGGGCACCTGCCGGCAGACCGACGACACTTCCTATGAATGCACCTGCTTGCCAGGTATGAATCTCCATCTGTCTTTGAGAAATTATTCTCATGTTTGATGTTTTTGAACGTCTGCAATGCACACTTGCCCAAAGTGTTCTTTTGCTGGTGTTTTGAATGTTTTATATTTTGCAGCCTTTACAATGATTTTATATTACAGGATCTAGCACACTAGTCATCACATTAAGCTATTACATTTTCAAAGCTCAACTCCAGAGTAAATTATTGCTGTCTGTGAGAACCGGTGTCACAGGGCATGGTGCCACAGGCAGCAGTAATGACCTTTAATTTTAATTAGTATTTCAACAGCGCTTTTCTCTTTGGAGACTCAAAGCGTTTAGGAGGTTGAGACAGCCATTTTGGGTGCACTCACTTGAACAAGTTGGCCTACCGTCATGTTTTTGGAGTGTGGAGGGATACCGACACAAAAAGGGGAAATCATACAAATTCTATGCAGATAGTATCCTGTTTGGGATTTGAATTGAGGACCCTAGTGCTGTAGCAGTGCTAAACATTAAACTACTGTGTTGCCTCTCCCCATTTTAATAAATAAATCACTGCACTTTTGTTACTGTCTATGTCCCCATCAATGAGATATTCCTTCCTTTCCATGTGATACACTGTGGCTAGGGTAGGACATATGGGTAAATCTACCCAATGGTGATGCAGACAAAAGTAAAATCTGACAAAGGCTTAAAAGTAAGAAAGCAGTTTTGCATAGTGTTGGGTGGTCCTGGCGTAGAAAGCAATTGTTTGTTTTTTTTACAACAAAATCCCTTCTATTTTCTGAGATTTGTTCCAAAGCAAATAGTCAGTATTGCACACAATAGTAATCGTAGTTGTACACAAACAATGCAACTGTCTGAGATCCATAAATGGCCAATAAAGAGGAAAAGGTATTTTAGCCAGATTTAGATAGTCGCTTCACCCCAGTGTTGTTGTTAATGGTCTGCACTGCCCAAGTTTATAAACCAATGTAACAAGAAGACAGGATTTCTGGAGTAGTACAACTACTACTTGTGTGCTCTAGGTTTAAACTCCTAGATTGTGCTCTTGTGTTTGCAACAGGAAGCGAGTTGTTTATTCAAGACAACAATTACTCTCTACCTTTCTCCACAATAGGAGGATATGCCCATTCACTTTGAACTTTTGCCCTGGAGTACCAGATTGTCCACTCATAAAATGACAAATAGTGGGAGTTGTGAAATGTGTGGTCTGCAAGCCTTTTTAGAGGAAGGAGAGAGGCTAGGTTTTTGGGTGAAAGGAATTCTAAACCTCAAATGTTATTATGAACCAAAAGTTACTTCTTGTGTATTTTTCAGCTGCTGTTGAATTTACAGTCTTTTAAGCTTCATTTTATTAATAGTAAAGGAACTTGATGCGATTTGTAGTTCTTCAGTAACTAAATCTAGGACTGGCAAGAAAGCTGAGCAGTGTAGATGGTTAACAGTTGTAGGCAGTTGTTCTTTTTCAGTGCACCTTTGTGACGTAAAAATGAAATATCACAATTTCTGTATGCCTTCAGTGTAGTCTCAGAAAGCATGTGCAGAACCATTGCAGAAGCTACAGACAGGATTCCCTTGCACATATGTAGTCTAGCCCAGACTATTTTCCACATGATCCTACCCATCCATTTGTGAGATCGCATCATACCTCAAAATAGATCAGAAAAGGCTTTTTCTTCAAACAAAAACAAAAGTGAACTTGTAGGATGCTTAAGGATGGCTCAAGCTTAGGGGAAGGGCAAAATAATTTTCTTTGCAAAGATCACAAGGTTGGGGGTTTCTCAGGTGTCACTAGGTCGTAACTGAAAGACTCCAAATCGTAACATAAAAACATTATTTTATTTAGTCAAATATGCCAAAAAATGTACCCTGCATATTACCGATCAAAATGTACAGACATAGCATATCAAGACATCCCAAATGATGCATCCATGGCTTGGAATGGCGGTAGCTTTGATGACTCGTTTTTCAGACCTTGGGTCTGCTTAATCAGAAAAGTATGGGAATGCATCTGGGGATTATATAAAGTTCACGTTAAGATACATGCATACATAACAGCAAAATAATCATACATAGATTATAAAAAATCCTAAATCTGAGAAACATATCCAAAAAGCTACCGCCATTCAGACTTGTGATTGTCTCATCATCTTGGAAGCTTAGAGCTACAGACTATAGAAATATTGTCAAGTGGATGGTTAAAGGGTAGTCTGCATGAGTACATAATTTGTGATGTCTCTATATACTACTGTATGTCTGTACATTGTGATTGGGAAAATGTATTAAAGATGTTTTATATTCAGCTAAATAACAGTGATGTTTTTATGATACAATTTGGTGTCTTTCCAATTATGTCCAACCTAGTGATCTTTTGTATTGCTTTAAAGGAGAACTATGGGGTTAGGGCTTTTCCCCATAGTTCTCCTTAGGGTAACGGGAGGACGCTTGTTTGTGTCCTCCCGTCACCCAATGCTCAATATACCGTGAGCTACAGCTTGCGGTATACTGAGACGCTAAGCTCAGTATACCGCGAGCTACAGCTATACTGAGACGCCGCAGCGGATCCCGACAATTATGTCTGGATCCGCCCAGCTGCATGAGTGACAGCTGGCTCTGCCTATCTAGAGGCAGAGCCAGCTGTACCCGCCCCCTCCCCCGTCCGTTCCACCAGTCAGCGCCGGAAGAATCCAGCCCCTCCCCTGTCACGGCTCTCTGTTGTGACGGGATCGAGGAGTGAGCAAACGCCGGTATGTGTTCACTCACTTCCCGATCTACTGAGCCGACCTGTGACAGTCTCATTGTCACAGGTCGGCTAGAACTATGAGGTGAGTGAAAAGCACTCACCTCATAGTTCTCCTTTAAGTAAATGGCATGGGACTTATTTTGGGGACTGCTTCTAAAGTTTTCTGCCTGTAAAGTTGCTGCATTTGTATGGAAATATTAACAGGGCAAATGTATTGCCAAAGCACCTTTGATCTCTTAAGGTGACCAAAAACAGGCAGATTATTGGCCATAGTCATTTTAGGCCTTAATAGCTTGATTCCATGGATGGAAAACCTAGTTGTATGAGGGGGCGCGCATCATTTCACATTGCACCCAAACTGACTTTTTGTCAGGCTTGATTTCAACACAAAATAGCCCAATCTACTGCAGCTTTTGCCACACGGAGGGTCAGGTGAGCAGCTTTACTATCAGTTGGTTTTGGAGTAAATTCTAGCACATGTTTTGGACATGGATATTTGTGGAGTTCAGTGCTTTACTGAGCATTTCCAGCATTAACAAATGGCAATTCACTCCTTGTCCGCTTCTATAAAAAGACAACTTTGCGAGACAGGAATTTTTTTTTTCTTTTTTCAAAAACGTCATTGCGTAAGGAAGAATTTGCTAAGCGAGTCTAGATTTCTGAGAAGAAAGATCATGACACTGTGAGCCATACACACACAACAAAAAAAAAATCTTGAACAGGAAACTTTAGCTCTGCACAAAACGGATGTATTCCTTCCTCTTCAACTCACAATAAGCGGTAAGAAGTAAAAAAAAAAATCTCCTTTTGTCACACCATGCAGAAACTTCTACGCTCTGTAATCCGCGTGGTCTTCCACGGCGTCAGCGGACCCTTGTGCACATGTCGTTCACTATGTGTTGGTACACGTCTGAAATATCTACAAAGCTGTAACAAGTCAGAATTCACCTGATACTTCTCTGTGACTTAACACGCTTAAAGTCAATGTTGCATAGTCTTTCCGGAGTTTGGTTGTTAAATGACTTTGGGCAAAAGGCGGGAGATTTAGGCTTTCTCTTAAAACGTGAAAAATAACAATGCATCACTTATTTACATTTTACATAACTTTGTAGCATCATTGAAGAGCACAATGTGGGTTAATATAACAGCTGAAATGAAAAAGATTAAAATACGGTTCCTAAAATCTCATATAGGCTTTACAATGGTGTCCAATTCTTTTTAAATATACGGTTTTCATTAAAATATTACCTGGCTGTCCTGATATGAAGGCACTTGTTTTGTCACTTCCTGTTTTAAGGGTGACGCAGCTTTGTTGCAGTCTCCCATTTGTGCTCCTTTTGTTGTCATCCTGTGAAGCGCACACAATGTAGAGACTATAAGGGGGCTGTTTCATAACACATAGTAACAACCGTGGACTACGTATGTACAATAAGGAAACTGGTGCAGAGTAATGATGTGCTGCCCATGCTTGAGTGAGTGCATTAAGACAGGAAGTGTCTGAAATTAGTTGAGTGTTGGTAGAGGTTGGTATTGTGTCAGCAAAGCTGAGCTCCGGAGAAATTAAACAGCTACCCTTGCAGTAGGGTTTCTCCCGCACAGCAAGGGTTAAATGCTTGTTTTTTGCCTGGGGTACCATTAAAAACATTTCTACTCATGTTAGCCCTCATTCCCCTGGCAGCCATTGTTTGCTTTTCTCTCTGACCCTCCAGGTTGTAGGTGGGCCTTTGGCATCCGTACTTACAATGCAAGACCGCAGGTCCTGCATTGTATGGGATGACGTCAGAGTGCGTCTGCCAGACGAAGTTGCGAATAAAAACGGCATGGTGGGGACCAGCCGCACAAAGAGGAACAGCCTGCAGGAGCGGGTGGATAAGGTAAGTAAAAGTGCATTTTACTGGTAACCTAGACATAAACAAGCAATTAGTCCATGCAGGGTGAGAGGAGTACTGCAAGAATTTTAAGTTCCCCAAGGTTCAGCATCAGGACCCATGTCACACTGACAGTTTGGTTGATGGCGAAAACTTGGCAATGATAGAATCGCAGGCAATCGCGAATCCTCTCTGTCATTAGTCCCTGGCCCGCTGAACCAACAAGTCATTGCTCCTTTGCCAGCCATCAAGATTCTGCAGCATTTTGGCTGCAGCTTGCTTTGGGTGGATTGATGGCTGCACCTCAGTTATTCTGAGTGCCGCAAACTACCATTTAGTTAGATAGGCTACCTGACAATCCTTTGACTAGTCTGGTCTACAAAAGTTTTGAAGGGTAATCCATAACACAGTATTACTGTTCAACCATTTATTGTAGTATGAGACTATAGGTATAGGAAAGGAGAATGTAACTAATGTTTCTTGAGAATTTAAGAATTTATTTTTAATTTGTACATTTCTTTTTAAGAGAAAAAAATGTCTCATTGGCCTGATCCAATATATGTCTAATATCGCTACCATATATATTTTCCAGTATGGCAAACTTTGTTTAAAAGTCAACAGATTTGTCCTCATTGAGAACCCATGAGTGATGATTGTCCATACTTGCAGAGATTTTTGTGGAGGGGATTGTTGTGCAGACTCTGGCACCTGTGCCTTTTAACCATCTCAACAAGCTGTCACTTTTTAATCTCTCGCTGGGCGGAATCTTGTAACTTCTGTTTACAAGCGGCTTTTCAATCCTCGGAGATTCACAACCTCTTCATGAGATGGGTTTGAATCATCAAATTTTTTTTTAATTTTCCCTTCCACTTTGGAGGCTTGCGGCCAGGCATGTTATAACTGGGCAAACATTAACCTGGATGGTACTTTGAAGCCTTTTCAAACAATAGCAGCCGAAGTTTTTATGGGCTTGTCTAGCAGGTGTCTCGTATAGCACAGGCAGCCTGAGATACATTATCAAAGAAAGGGGAAAAAAAACACCTACGCTTGAAAAGATCAAAGAGCGAATGACGCTGAATGCCTGCACAAGTTATTTTTCTGCTGCAGAAATCCTGGGCCTTCCGGCTCTCATTGAGCAACAAGATCAGCTCTGCTTTACAGGACCGTCTACTCAAAACTAATATTTTTGGTTAGGGGGGTTTCTGATGGTGCAGATAACCCAAGGGTCTTCTTGTGTCTCAGGGCCTCCAGTAACATGATCGCCCCACTGCAGACCCAGCAAGGACATTGGGACATCTGTGCAATACCTATGGCAGGCAGCATTGACTAAAAACTCAACTGTTTGAGAGATTCCACAAGAGATATAAGAAACTAGCAGGTGATTCAGCTCACTGGCATGTACACAGAGCTTAAAGGTCATTTCTACTTCAAACCTGATATATCTTTTTGTTTTTTTTGGAAAGGGAGGGAGGGGGTTTCTGGTGGGATGAATTGCTTACTACATTTTGTCTATTCTTTTGGATTATATTCTCTTTTCTTCATAGATTATAGCAGTGAGAACCCACCAGAAGTCCCAGCTACTCACAGTGGGCCTGAACTAAATGGTAGTGTCACCGTCCGCCAATGAACTAGGCCATAACGTGGCATAAACAAATAATTGGGGTGTGCAGGTAAAAAAGAGCATCACCCCACCGCAGGAAGGGCAGTGACATCACAATTATATTTTTCAAATGGTGCCTCCCAAGTGACAGAAAGCTAGCAAACAGAGCCCACCTAAGACTGAAACCTCAGGGGAGCTGCCCTTTAAATATAACTCTTCGGTGACTGGCTCTTTCAAATTTACAGCACTAGCAAGCTAAGCTGCCGCTTGCGCAGAATTTTCAACTTATGACTTTTATTGTTACTTTTATTACTTTTTATTTGTATACTAGCAATTTTTTTTGTAGCTTTTTGTTTAAATGTTTTTCTAGCCGCCTCTGCGGATGTCAAAAGTCGGTTTTAACCAGTTTCTTTATTATGGAGAATTAGATTCAGCAGTCCCAGCCAACTGATTTAGAAACACTCTGAGAAAGACTTGTTTTTTTGTTGTTGTATAAATATATACGGATCAGATTACACCTGCCGGTGAAACAAGGCCGTAAGGCAACCTGCTCCCCCCCCCCCCTTTCCTTTCCTCCTAACCTGGCATACAGTGATTTATTTCAGGCTCAAAGAATTTGCTGTGTGTTTACAGTAAACACAGCCTAGGTGAACCCAAAACAGAGCTTGCTTTTACCGCTGGCGTTCAATCTCTACTGGGCACCTCCCACGCCTGCCAGGTAGGGGCCGAAATGAAAAATTGACACTCACACCTTGTGGAAATTGTCAGTTTGAGAACATGTTTGCTGTATAAATCCTTTCTTTTATCAGATAAGAAGGCTAAATCCGGCACAGGCTGAATGCACTGTTTGGTGTACAGTGATTTGTGAATAGGAGGAGTGCCCGTCAACTTTTAAATTGCAACGATCAGGAAAGAAATACCTCGACCCGTAGAGTGCACACTACTGAAATTTAGCTCATGAAGAGCTCATTATGCTGATGAATTGCTTTGCACCGGGTTATCTTTACGACGTGTGAATTTCCCTGTAACAAATAGAAAGTTTATTTTTCACACGAGATCATTGTAATGGTTGTATTCTATCTCACAGTTTTGAGCAGCTTCTTGCAGTTTTTATGGACTGATCATATCATATGCACTGACATTTCTAAAGAGTTCAAGCAAAAGTATAATTAAAGCAGAACTCAGAATTTTTCTTAACCCTTGTTTTTGTCTAGATCCTAGGAGCCGCCCCCGATAATGCCATCAGACACTTGATGAATGTTGATGGAAGTTTCATTTGATTTTAACGTTCGATTTAGGAATGAATTTCATTCGTTCAAGAAAAAATTTCCATCCTGCGCTTTCAAGTTTTTTTTTTTCTTTGTCACTACAGTCGAAATCGATTTGTTAATCTGACCCTATAAACTAATAGAAAGTCAAAAGAAAGTTCTTTTGTACGAAAGTTCATTTGATAATCTAAGCAGTGTAAGAACCACTTTACACCGGTCCCTGGAGCCTCTTTCTTCCTTCATACACCGTGTATAGATGTGAGGATGCTGAGAAACATTCTAATGCTGCAGTATGGGAGGACACAGGCTTCAGTGACTGGAGAAAAAAAAGCACTTGCTGGGGTAGCCCCACTGCAAGGGTTAAGAACACTTTTGCCCAGAGTTGTTCTAGAAGTCAAGGTACTGGTTAACCCAAGTATTTTTTCCATTGGGGAGATTTCCCTTTGCTTTCTCCCCTGAGACACTGCTTTAGGTTACAGGCGATCTCTCCAAAGTGAGTGTGAATCTCTAATAGCAGCAAAAACTGACTTTCTAACACAATCAAAACAAAAAGGAAAAAACATATTGGTTTTCAATGTTCCTTAAAGGAAAACTATGGGTTCAGGGCTTTTCCCCATAGTTCTCCTAAGGGTAACGGGAGGACACAAACTAGCGTCCTCCCGTCACCCAACGCTCAGTATACCGCGAGCTACAGCTTGCGGTATACTGAGATGCCGCAGCCGGGACGGATCCCGACATTACTGTCGATCCACCCAGCTGCGTGATTGACAGCTGGCTCTGCCTATCTAGAGGCAGAGCCAGCTTTGCCCGCCCCCTCCCCCGTTCCGCCAGTCAGCGCTGGAGGATCGGCCAGGGGAGGGGGAGAATCCCTGCAGGGAGCCGTAAGTGACAGTCACAGCTCTCTGCTGGGATGGATCGAGAAGTGAGCGACGCTATGTGTTCGCTCACTTCCCGATCTATTGAGCCGACCTGTGACAGTTTCATTTTCACTCGCCTCATAATTCTCTTAAGTTCAAGTGTTTGTAGACACTGCATATAGTACAGTTATAATTCATCTCAACAGTCGATTGTTTTGCAGCACGCACTGGAGAAATAATAATAAGCTATGGGGAGCCGGGCCTTACCTTTTCATACAGGCCACACTCTTCCCAGGTGCCGCTGTCCTGCAGTAGTAGCGCGATTAATCAGTAACCTGCCACATGTTGGTCTTGTGGACAAGATTGCCATAATCAGCCCGGCGGTAGTGACTGAAGGCTGCTATCACAAGTCCCTTTTACAACTGCTGTCATTGCAGTTATATTATGGGGCCTCTCCCTGAGATTGAAGCTAAATGGTTTTATCTGATTGCAGGCTCAGCGGGTGAGCCAGCACACTCTTCCACTTATATTGCAGCTTTCAGCAGAGGGCAAGCAGTGTAATAGCTCAGTATAAACTGTTTGCCTTTTTTGTGTTTGCTGTAAACAGAAAAGAATCAACTGCTTGTGTCATGCATACATAGGTCTGAACTCTGCATGTGGTTAGTCTGAACAGGAGTAACAAAATAGTGTTTCTGTTGTAATTTAATCTTGACGGGAGCCAAAGTGGTTGGGCAATAAAGGACTTCGATAATGCAGCTGTCCACTTCATGCAGTTATTTTGAAGGATTAATCATTGTTGTTCCTGTCCATTCCCTCATCGTATAAAGCAACCTTTCCTTCTCCAATGTTTACAGAAACTCCTGCCAAATATGAACTGTTCACATTACAAACACACCAGTTCAAAATCATTGAGCAAAAACTTTGCTTATATACATCCCAGAGACCTCATAATTCCTCCATTGGGCCCCACAGTCTTGCCCCTCACACAGCATAGAGAAGGTGAAGCCAAGTTGTCAAATACAACCTACATATGAAAAACACCTATCCCTGTAACAAAAATTGCTTTCTTGCTGATTATATTTATAAACCAGACTGCAGAAAATAATTTTTAGAATTTGTTCTAGAAGTCAATGTTCTTTATGGTTCTATAGGATTTGCAGGTCAGAACTGTGAAGACAACATTGACGACTGTCCTGGACACAACTGCAAGAATGGAGGGACCTGTGTGGATGGCGTAAACACCTATAACTGCCAGTGTCTCCCTGACTGGACTGGTAAGTCACAAAAAAGGAAACTAAGCTTAATTCCAATTATTTTATTTTTTTTCTATCCCTTCAACTTTTTTTTATAACTCTATTTGGTCGTTAGATCTTCAGTCATGCAAATCAAAAACAACATGGTGTAATGAGATTCCGGGTATTCATGCATAGCATTGTGCACCTCTGTTGTCTTTAGGAAGAAGTATTGGGAAAAGAATAACAAACTGTCTTTTTTCATTATAAAGTGTTTTGCACTTGTCCCAACCTGCCTGTTTCATTCTGTGTGAATTGTGCCTTCACAAAAGATACACAGATGGGATTATCTGTGACTACCATTGTGGCCTTGATTAAATTTTTCATTAATAAACTATAAAACGCGATCATAATAAACTGTAACATTCGGTCGTAGAAACAACATTTCCTTTTACAATTATGAGAATTTCAGGGCAGGAAATCCATTGCAGCTGGTGAAAAAATGTTACTAAGCATTTTACTCCTTCTTGGGACAGATCATTTTTAATGACAAGCCCGAGAAGAAATTTGATATGGCTCATTTCCTGAGGCCCTTATTTATATTATACCCTCATAATAGACTGCTGGAAAACGGTGAGATGATCAAAGTGAGAAACCTAATTCACACATGCGTTCCATAAATGGTAGTAAGAATGTTCATCCTCTTTCCTCATAGGCCAATACTGTACGGAAGATGTTGATGAATGTCAGTTGATGCCAAATGCTTGCCAGAATGGTGGTACGTGCCACAACACCCATGGTGGCTATAACTGCGTCTGTGTCAACGGCTGGACGGGAGAGGATTGCAGTGAAAACATTGACGATTGTGCCAATGCTGCTTGCAACAATGGAGCAACCTGTCATGACAGAGTTGCATCTTTCTTCTGCGAATGTCCACATGGACGCACAGGTGAGAACGAGCTGTCCTGTATCATTCAAGAGGCCTATAACGCAGGGTTTCTGTATTACCTTTTAATATTTAGTTTTCATGTGTTAGCAAGACTTAAAGCGGACCTTTACCCATATCTTTCAAATAATGACAGTCTACAAACACATACTTTGATCATTACCAGCTTTGTATTCTATGCATACCTTATTTCCCTTTTCTTCTCCAGTCTTCTGACAGTAGCCATGTTTACGAAGGGCATATTGCTAGCTCTCCTTTTACTTTCTGGATTTCTGGCACATGTGACCATGCACATAATCTCAGGGGAGGAAAATGCCTTTCCCTAAGATCTCGTGAGATTACAGATTAGATTTCCCAGGAATGCTCTGCTGATGACAAGGCAATCCCAGTGTGCTTTGCTTTGGCAAACTGAAGTCAATTTTGCCCTTTTAAAGCAGGAAGTGAATGCTCTTCATAATCACAGCATTTTACACCTGACGTGTGTGACCAAATAATGTTTTCATTTGATCAGATTTGAATTTGGTTGGCCAAAGAGATGAAACCAGTTTGATAAATATCTTGGTTAAACATCCAGAAGGGATTCTTAACTATTTATCCCTGGATTGTCAACTTCTTTCTACCTCACATTCTTCTACAGTTTCATTTATGAACCAATCAAGACATTATTAAGATAAAATCTTTTATGTAAGCCAATTTCTTGCATGTTAAAAGTAAATACGTTTTTCAGGGCCACCTTAATGGGAAGATGCTTGCTGCTTTCCATCAGTGAGCAAAGAATTATGACAGATGGTACCTTATATTCAGTTCTAGGTCTATATTTGTACACTGCCAAATAGCAAAACAAGAGTTTCTCAGAGCTAAGCTTATAGATGCACTGTGTAGCAATCTCTACTTAGTGTCTGATTGTAATGAGGAAATGAAATCCAACAATGTTTGAGAAGCAGGAAAATAATAAATGTTTGTGTAACAAAGATGGTTATCTTCAGCCTAAGCCACCAGTCTTACAAGTACATCTGGTGAGCCATACACTGGCCAGGTGCAGCAGCTACCTGAAAGACACCTGACAATAAGTTTATAATGACTACACCATAATTGCTGGATAATAAACGAAATATTACATCTAAATGAAATGCCCCTATTTAGGTCTTCTCTGTCACCTTGAAGATGCTTGTATTAGCAACCCATGTAATGAGGGCTCCAACTGTGATACCAACCCTGTCAATGGCAAAGCGATCTGTACTTGTCCATCTGGCTACAGCGGTCCTGCCTGCAATCACGATGTGGATGAATGCTCGCTAGGTAAGGCAAATCTAAAGTTCTGATCAACCTTGGCATACAAGTAACAGAATGTGTGTTTTGGTGCCTTATTGTCCTGGTTATAAAGCATCAGAATATTAACAATTTCCTTTTATTGTTCAGGTGCCAATCCATGTGAACATGCAGGAAAATGTATCAACACTCAGGGTTCTTTCCAATGCAACTGTCTCCCAGGCTATGCCGGGCCACGATGTGAAATTGATGTCAATGAATGTCTTTCGAACCCTTGCCAGAATGATGCTACGTGCCTTGACCAGATTGGTGGATTCCAGTGTATCTGTATGCCAGGTACAAGCATTAAAAATAAATAGACTAACTTATTGTCAGAAGCCTTAGCTATGCAGCTTACACTTCTATGTTTCAGTACTCATTCTTTAATGTCTTCTGATTTTTAGGCTATGAAGGCACATACTGTGAAATCAATACAAACGAATGCTCCAGCAACCCCTGCTTACACAATGGCAAATGCATCGATAAAATAAACGAGTTTCACTGCGAATGCCCTACAGGTGAGAGATGAGATCAATAAGGAGGCTGTGCTTTGCAAGGTTGCTGCTAATCTTCAGCCTTGGGCAGTTTATTATCAGTTCTCAATAGGAGAATCTCTCCCACCTTCTTATTTATCTTCTTTTTGTTTAGTCTTGCTGAAGCTTGATTTGTAAGATAGTATTTCTGAAGGATGGCATAGAATCATATGGTATTAAGATTGCTTTAAGTGGCAGTGTGAGGATCATATGTGGTCTGCATTCCCTGTGTGAAGTGTATTTGCGAGTTGCCATATTGAAGTACTCTCAGGCTGCACGGGTGATACCTCCTGGTTCTATCTTGTTTCTCGCTGGCTCTAATATCTTGCGACACACTTAAGGAAACCTTTACTGAGAACATTATGTGAGGAGGTCCCAAGGATGTCAACTGTACCTCTTTTAGTACAGTTTGCATTTGAAGTGACAGGAGAATGATTCTGAAATCACATGGCTAGGGAACATTCAGTTGTCCGTGTTCATGGATTGTCCAGGGTTAAGCTATTTGTGCTAGAAGATACAAAATGCCACATTTTAGAAATACGAGTGGGCAGTGTATTATTATTTATTATTATTATTATGTTATAACAACATATTTTTTTCATACAACATGTGCTTTAATAAGAGCAAAATATTTTGGCAACAGCTATTTACAATACACACCACAATATGTCCCATCACAGACATTCACGGATTGGCTTTTGCTAGGCCCGGTACAGTTACAAACTGCTGTGTGGACTCGCTTAATTAGCGCGTTCATTAATATTGCCTGCTGACATCACTGGTTTCCAGTGACCAGTTTGGCTCCACATTGCTCATTGTTGGGTTTAAGTCTGCAGCTCTCGAGATTGCACTGGTCTGCACTAAGGCCTTGTTCACACCAAGCGCGTTCCAAGAGCAGAGCAGTTAGACTGGAGCAAAACTGCATCCAATGTATTCCAATGGTATTTTTAGCTCCAGTTCACATCGCAGTTCCAGAGCAGGTAAAAAAAACCTGCAGCAGGCCCTATTTTACCTGCTCTGGAGCGCATGCAAATGCATCAGAAACACATGCAAACGCTCTGGAACGCACTGAAAGCCCATTTTAAACTAAAAAAAACAACAAGTTTTAAAAACCAAAAACGACCTGAAACGCATCAAAAACACGGCAAAAACGCACACTGCATGTGCAGAAACTCATGCAGATCTGCTCTGCATTTGGTGTGAACAAGGCTTAAGGGGACAGCCAGTTTCCTGTGCATTTTCCTGAATAAAACTGCTGCTGGCTACAAGGTTACAGCAAGCTAATCTTTGGAAAGGATAATACTTCACAATGGATTTAAATAAGATGTTGGGAATGCCCGGTCAGGGGTTTATACCTATCTTTTTTCCCCCCATGTGGTCATTTACCATAGTAACACACAGCAAGTTCTGAAATTTCTGAATAAAGAGCACACTTTGCCCTTTCTGGTCTGAGGGGATCAGCTGAAATCCCAGAGCAGACATTGAGAGCATTCAGTGTGGGATTGTAAATGCGAAGCTCTCAATGAGAGCCAGACCCCGGGCCGGGGGGCAGTTTATGGGCTTAGGCGGGGAACAAACGGTCATGTGGTATTTTACAAGGGAGAGGTTAAAAGGGGAAAGCTTTGCATTGGCCTAGTGTCTGAGCCGCCTTCTGGTCTAATAATCCCGAATAGAAATTTGAAAAACGAATCTTATCCCAACGATTGCCATCCCAAGTCATACTATTTGTAGCTGGTGATCTATATTGAACATAAGGTTGCATCAATGTACTTTTTTCCTTCCATAGGTTTCAATGGGCCCCAGTGTCAGTATGACATTGACGAATGTGCCAGTACACCATGCAAGAATGGCGCTAAGTGTATAGATGGACCGAATGCCTACACCTGCAAATGTGCAGAAGGTAAGTGCAGTTTTGCAGCAACTCTTAAATCTTTTTATTTTTTATTTTTTTTATTTTTACTGTCAGGCCTGTCTACGATGGCTTAGCAGTTATCAATGTGGCTTTACAGCTTGTGGTCCCATCTAGGAGCAGTCTGCATGCTTGTATGTTTGCCATTGTTTCTGTGGGTTTCCTCCCTCAATAATACTGATAAGTTAATGGGTCAAATGCATTGAATGTACTTTCTTTGTCACTGGACTCCTGATTTTCTTATTTGAGGTCAGGAGCTCAGAATGTACTGAGGCATTTGCATCAGCATGACAGACGGTCAATTAGTATTTTCTTTAAAAGAAATCAGCAATGCCAGCCTACATATATATACTTTGGTATAGGTTTTCTATAAAGTATATCTACAGCCATTGTTTTTTTTTTTTTGGAAGGGTTAGATCCACCAGTTTTTATTGCTGTCTGTGTCGCAGCTGGGGAGATTCACCCTCTTTATTTCCCTGCTTGCTATTGTCACCTGCAGAAAGTTCAACAGGAATAGAGGGTGTATCTTTTAACGGGGAAGCCTGTTTCACATGACAACAGTCTAAAAGGAGCTTTGCCTATATTTTTGAGAGATATCCTCTTACTTCCTGTTGGGTCTCGGGGGGATTTTCACTCAATTCCTCCCCCAAACTAAAAACCGGCAGCAGAAAAAAACCTGACATGGGTTTTATTCATTCTCTATTGTATCTGCAAAAAATGGCTTAAGATATAGGTAACATTGCACAGTTCAGTGGGGGAGAGGGCTGATGTGAATGGTCTAAAGTCCTCTGTAATAAACTACAATATAAATCAGCACTTGATAAATCATTTCATCAAGAAGCGGTTTGGAGTTTTGATACATTAAGCAGCCAGATTTCCAGAAAACTATGCTATGTGCAGTAATAAGCAGGAGATTATAAGCCAAGTAGTACTTTTAGAAAGGGATCTGTTGCAGCAGATGTCTCGGGCTCTAGTGTCACAATTAGAGCGAAAGCAGACTGCTTTCCATGTGGAGTGTGGGGCAAAGGTGTTGCCAGCAAAGAGGCCTCCTATTCTATTCTGCTTTTGTGCCTGGTCCTTTTTCTCTCCGGAGCTGTGAGCCTTTTCCATACACAGACAAAAAAGACGCGGGAAAAAAGTTTGAGGCAGCTTTAGAAAACAGCAAGGGCCTTTCTGGGCTGCGGGGAGGAGCAGCCTCTATGACATGAGCTGAGAAAGGGGGATAATGGCGCTATTGTTGTGCAGCTCATGCTGGAGATGGCTCACAGTTGAATAACTTCTAATCAGGCTTGTATGAATGCCAGCAAGTGAGCCATGAAAGCTGCAATATCCACTCGCACCGCCCAGGGTTTTTTACCTTGTCCTCTGTGAGTGTGGAAAACTTTATAATGTATCTTGCAACATTGTCAAAAGGTTTTGTTTTTATAGTTGATATTTTACTTGTTTACATATAACCACAACAATAAGGCCTCAATTACAGTAGTTGGAACATCTAAATACAGGAAAAAGGGGAAGAATAAATGGGTTCTTGTTGACAGGCGTAGTTTTCCTGCATTTGACATGCGTTTAGAACACACTTCAAACACAGGTCAGCAAAATCCCATTTACTTTCATCGACCAGTAAACATGGCAGTTCAGAGTCGACGTTTGACCTGCTTTGTGTTGTGCTGCATTTCTTCGAACGCAGCATGTCCTATTGTGGTGCATTTAACTGCAGCCAAATCAGGTCAAATGCAACCTTTTAGTATGGAGTGTTCCCTAGCTAAATGAACTTCTCTATGGAACAATGTGGCTTAGGTACTTTATTTTAAATGCATTCTTATTACTACGTTACAAGAAAGGCGGTTGGTTTTTACTTGTAGAGTTCTAAATATTTTGGCACTTTGGTTACCTGGCTTTCATATGACCTACAGATACATGTCTGATGTGTAATAATTCTGGTTTCCAGGTTTTACGGGGGTGCACTGTGAGACGGACATAAACGACTGCTACCCAGACCCCTGCCACTATGGTACCTGCATTGATGGCATCGCCACTTTCTCCTGCCTATGTAGACCTGGGTTTACTGGGCGGCTATGTGACACTAACCTTAACGAATGCCAAAGCATGCCGTGTCAGAACAGAGGAGAATGTATTGACCAGATCAACAGCTACATGTGCCAGTGCCCAAAGGGAACCTCGGGTAAGTGTCCTCATCCCTCTGCGATTGTTCAGTTTTCCATTTATTATATTGGGGCTGATTTATAAAGACAGAGAGAAAGGTACCATGGACAGTGAGCAAAATGTTTCACATTAAAAAAACAAACATGAATTCTCTGACCAATGGCTTTTAACTTGTTTTTTCTTTTAAAGGTACAAACTGTGAGATCAATTTGGATGACTGCGCCAGTAACCCATGCGACTCTGGCAAATGCATTGATAAGATTGATGGCTATGAGTGCGCCTGCGAACCAGGCTACACAGGTAATGCGTCTTAATGAGCACTCAGACTGGCCATACACATTATAAAATGATTAGATTTACCATAACTATGTAATGTGATGGCCTACATAAACTATTCAAATTGTAGGTATTCAAGCTATATTGTCTATGGCAGATCTGAACCAGATTGTGCAATCTGATTGTAGCCATAAACATCCAGATTTCTCTTGTTACCTTTTGTGGGTTGCCAGCCTGAATATCTCTATTGTGACTACATCTGATAGGTTGCAGTCACTGTTCAGTAGGGTTGCATCGATACCGGTTTTTCAGTATCGAGTACCGATATTTTTTTTCCGGTACTCTGCGATACAGATATTGAAAGTCCCATTAAGGAAGCCGGGTGGCTTGTAATGACTCGCCGCTCAGCTTTCCGATTAGCAGGGAAGCCGTCCCCATGCTCCATGCCCCACCAGGTAATGAGGAAGCATAGAGTCTGCTTTCTGGCCAATCAGGAAGTTGGGTGGCGGGTAATGACTCGCCTGGCTTCCTAATTGGCCGGGAAGCCAACTCCATGCTCCCTCGTCACCAAGTACTACTATCGGTATCGGTGCATCTCTACTGTTCGGCCAGTCATTTTCCACCAGGCTCAGTCTTTTACGACTTTTGTAGGATTGGTTGCTGCTGACATGGCTACCCATGGCTTAAGTTACGACCAAATTATTAGGAATCGGCTGAAATTAAAGCCATCTATAGCCAGCTTTGCTCAGTGTTGTGTTGTCTCACTGAGAGGCAGGTGGACAGAAAGCTTATTTTGTTCTTTATCTTTCTTATCAGAACTTGTATTTAAACTGAGAAGGGGAACCCCATATCGGTTTTCCTCTTCGTTTTTAGAGATGAGGCTTCAATTAGTCACAGGAAGTGATATGTGAACTCGGCTGGAGGGAGTAAGGACTGAAGTTTGCAATTAGGGAATCTAGACTATTCCACTCAATTAGTGGATCGAGTTTCTAAGCTCGTCTGACTGGTGCGTGGTTAGGGTAGGTTAATATGATTCCTTAATTAAGCAAGACCCCTTTCTACTGCTTACCGATTACCTGTGCAGAGCCTAAAGGTATAAGCTATTGAACTCTCTTCCCGTCCCTCATCTGTCCTGTGATCAATAGACGCTTTTTTTTCACTGTGTATCCCACTGAATGTCTCAGTGACTGGAGAGTAAGGTAACTTAAGGAACCCAGAGGAAAGCATAACAAACAGAGTTCATTCTATTTGTTTTTTTTTTGCAATTTATGATTTAAATTCTAAAAAACACTTTGCATCTAAATGACTGACTGACTGCAAATCATAACCCCCAATGTAGCAACAGTTCCTGTAAAAAAAAAAGTGCCAATGGCAGAATTGCCTAATTCTAATTGCGAGCATATCAAATATATGTTGCTTGCAAGATCTGGGTTGCTAGTGAGGGAGCACCAATGAGGTAACGCCTCCCTCAATTAGGGGGCGATGCCATGGTAGACAATGAGATGAGTAATTCTACTGTGACGAGAAACCACACCTTTTATCTCTGCAATCTTACCCGTCTATGGTGGGCACAGGCTAATTATTTAGCATGTCTGGTTTAATTGATCAGCTAACCTACATATTGGGAGGCCCACCTCCCATCTTCACAAGCTACACAAATAAAAATGTTTCCAGATTATACTGTGATATTTGTCTAAAAAAAAAATGTCTTCTACAGGAAAAATGTGTAATATCAACATTGATGAATGTGCCAGCAACCCGTGCAGTCACGGAGGGACCTGTGAAGACCTTGTCAGTGGTTTTAAGTGCACCTGTCCAGAGGGCTTCCAGGGACACACGTGTATGTCCGAAGTGGATGAGTGCCGCAGCAACCCTTGTATCCATGGGACGTGCCGCGATGGAGTCAACGGGTAATTTGACAGACGCTTAAATCTGTGTAGAGCTAGTTTTAGTGTGAGGTTTAGTTTTTTTCCCAATTCCTGTTGGTTGGGGATGCAGCATTGTGGCATATTTTGCTTTTTGATGTTTAACTTGTGATGATCTGGCTTCCCCTCTCTGGCCATACCCACAGCAGGTTTCGGCCAGCAGGTGCAGGAAAAGAACCTATAGACGCATGGAAGTGGTTTACTGTAAATAATTCTTTGTCATCAGTTTAGAGCTGGTTAATAGAGTTCATATGAGTGTTACTCTGGAAATAGTTTCACAGTGTCTTGTAGTTATGTTTAGTGACTTTGTTTTACTGTACATTTTTAAAGGTACAAGTGCGATTGTGACTCTGGCTGGAGCGGCACCAACTGTGATGTTAATAACAATGAGTGTGACTCCAATCCCTGTATGAACTTCGGAACCTGCAAGGACATGACCAGCGGCTACATCTGCTCCTGTAGAGAAGGATTCACTGGTTAGTATGAGACCCCCACACAAAAGGCAATGTGGCAAGAGAAGTAGGATGCAAATGTACATGACTGTTTAATGTATAAACGTGTGGCATTGGATTCATAAGTGGACAGTGTATTCATACATAAATGGTCCGTATAGTAAGCTCAATGGAAAATTGTTTACATTAAGATTACTGCAAAAGACACAGGGCGCTTTTTGTGCCTTGAAGAATATGTGCTTATGGAAAGGGTTCTTTAAAGTAAGAGTTGTGTAAAACACCTCCGGAAACGGTTCTAGCCATCTCAGTAGATTGCTTCAAGAAAGGCTGGTGTATTTCTAAATGCACACAATCTAAATGGCTACTAATAATTTTTAGAAATGACACTGCAGAATAATTATTTAGGGAATAGCCATTTGGCATTGGGGATCAGCATGGAATTTTAGAGGAAATTGGAGAACACTTTATTTTTCTGGTGTTTTCTGAAACTGAGGGTTTAGGTTTCCTTTACAGATGAATTTACTAGACAGGTGTGTTTTTGTTTTTTTCTTCTAACCTAATGATAAAATGTAACATTATGTCTTGTTCTCGCAGGAGTAAACTGTCAGACCAACATTAACGAGTGTGCGTCAAATCCTTGTCTGAACCAAGGCACATGCATAGACGGGGTTGCCGGATACAAGTGCATTTGTCCACTCCCCTATACAGGTCAGCCACCCACCCAGCACATAGGATATATCTTCCATGTAGTAATCGGAACTAGGCAAACATCATCTTCCTTTTAATGTCATTGTGGGCGTGCGTGCGTGCTGTGCAGTGGAAAAAGTGCAACCTCCTCATCCATGCCATTGTGGGTTCTCTGCGTTTGACCTCCAGCAATAATATGGCTTTGCATGCAAGAAGCCATGATTAGGCATTATCTGCATATGTTATTGTATTACTGCTAAAGACAGAAGAATAGCTAGGAATTTAGGAAGTCACAGCCAGAGTTAGTAATACATGTCAGTAGGAATGCTTCATATGCGATTCCCTTCCCAACTTCCAGTTGTAGTTTGTCTACCGGCAGAATTGTAGTTATTTTATATCCTGGGGGAAATGTGGGACATGTTGTGACAACATATTGTGGTGGAAATGCAAGGACCATGACAGGTGAGTTTTCAATCTTAATGATCATGGGCTTAAACCATAACTTGTGTAAATGTGTAGAGGAAAAAATCACCCCCTAAAAAGCCGAGCCTTGTTTTCCTGGCAGTATTCATTGTTCTGCCCTAACGAAATAAAAGGAAAATATTTTGCTTGGAGAAAAAAAAGATGAATTGCCTCGTGCTCTTTTTTTCAACAACATTTTTTACATTGTTTTTCCAGAAAACAGGCTGAGGTACTCTCTGGAAATGCTTCCGAGATACTTTCAGGGGCCTCTGGGTGGAAAAATCTCCTATGCACATATTTTGTTCTGCTCTTTTGACAGTAACGGAGGCCAACAACCACAGTACCCAGTCTGGCCTCCATGGGGCGGATAAGGGTTATTTTGACAGATATGCAATGGCTGGGAACTGGTCCCAGTCAGAACCTGCATGTTCGCTTCCTGCTTCCCCTTCCATTAAAATGGCTGTGCAGACAATTGAAGGAAGCAACGATGAATTTCCTGACTGGTCCTGGTCTCCAAAGCAACAAAGGGGGATCGTGAAGGTTTTGGAAAGTGGCCACCACAGACGAGAGAGATAGTAGCTAGCAGAAAATTAGATTAAATATGAAAATATGTGAATTATTAACCTATCCTATTGAGGAATGTAGTTTTCCTGTTGATTGTCTGCACATCAGCACTTTTTCAGTCCTTTATGGTACTTTATATTCATTATTGGTAAGTTTTTTTGAAGACTTACACACAGGGTGTCACTCATGTTTTGATCCATATATATATTCACATATTTTCATATTTATTCCAAACCTTTAGCGCTGTGACAACACTTTACACTTTCACTTTACACCTCTCATAGCAGCTTTAGGATCATTACTTGACTTTTAGTTTACTTTCCAAAAGCGCAGATTTTTTGTTGCAATCAGAAAATTAGATTACCAGCTATGTAATAACCTCACATGCATCCCACCAAACCTTACTATATCTTAATGTAGTATTGCAGATGCCGTACTCACGTGAAATGGTCATTCCATACCAAACTGATATTTTGGTTATTGGAGAGTTAAACCTGCCCTTGAAATTTCTATTTCTTGGTAGCGCTTTGGCAAGTTTTCTATGCCGAGTTCCTGGCCCATTATTGGGGTCTTCCACTATTTCTGCTGGATTTCTATATTTTATACTGTGAAGAATATAATAGGAGCATCTTGAGTGATTTATTACTGAAAGATCATTTTTGAGTGCACTGGCTTTTTATCAGAATCTGATTTTTTTTTTTACCTTTGAAGAGAGTATAAAAGGTTGCAGTCTGTTGGGTTTTATTGTTTTCTGGTTCCCTGACAATTGTCACTGAAACAGGAAGTGAGACCAAGTCTCCCAATGGGGCACCTCTGCTGTGACAGATGTGATTTTTAAAATTTCCACTGTTATGGTGTCAGGACAGAAAATGGCAAAGCAATAACATTTTGACTGAGATACTAACCCTTCCCTATGCCATAAAAAGAAAAACAGTTGGTGTTCTGCTTTCCTGTTGGTTATTTAGCTTTCTTTGATTGCTGAGTGTATTAAAGTAAGGCTTGCTTTCTTGTCAGGGGAGACATGTGAAGATGTGCTGGCACCGTGTGGTAACAACCCATGTAAGAACGGAGGCAGATGTCAGGAGTCTGAAGACTATGAAAGCTTCTCCTGCCTTTGTCCTGTGGGATGGCAAGGTTTGTGTATAAATCCATTTATAAATTCACAAAGAAAAAGATAACCTCAGCTGACGTCTTCTTAGTTAAATGCCTCACTCTCAGGAGATCATTTACATTATGCATATTGTGGTTCTTTTGGTTACTGTGCATGGACCTTGATATTTGGATAAAAAGTCTTGCAGTTCTTTCAAGAGCAATTAATGTTTTACCAGCAACCAAAAAGATCTTCCAAGAAAGAAAAATCTTTAATGCTGAAGTCAAAATGTGCTCTTCTGTTTTTCCTCTTTGTAAATCTATACATGTTTTCACCAGGCCAAACCTGTGAAATTGACATCAATGAATGCGTGAAGAACCCTTGCCGAAATGGTGCTTTGTGCCAGAACACTAACGGAAACTACAAGTGTAATTGTAAACCCGGGTACACCGGCAGGAACTGTGAGACGGATATCAACGATTGTCTGCCAAGTGAGTGTCGCATAACCAAAATTTACCCCCACCCCTTAAACTTCTCTCTCCCTCTCTAGAGCTTATCCTGGCATTATTTTTTTTTCTTTTACCATGTTCCTGTAGGGAGATGTTTTTTCCTTTCTGTGAAATCCTCACCACGCCTCAAGAGCTACATCTCCCAAGAGCCTTTTCCCTGGACAGTGTATGGGCAGGCTCTTGGGAGACAGGGCAACAGCACTGTTTTTGCTGAGAATTAAGGCAATGTATGCATGTAGAGAGGGGCGCAAGGGATGTGAGATAGGTGAAGTTCTGCAGTTCATCGGGCAGGGCTGACAAGTGGTTGGGATTTCAGAGCAGCGGAGGGCACTGTGTTGTAAGCTCAAACCATAAGTTAGGAGCATGCTGCATTTCTGACAGATCAACAGGTATTCTTCTGTACTTGCAGTGTTTTCAAGGGGAGTATGCATGCCTTTCAGAAATGTTCTATATACATTTTAAATATTATTTGCTTTGGTGGAGTTTTTTGGTTTTTTTTTAGTGTCCTCTTCATTATTCCTTTTTCCCGTTTTTTAGATCCCTGCCACAACGGAGGCTCCTGCACTGATGGTGTTAACGAATTTTTCTGCAACTGTTTGCCGGGCTTCCGTGGTCCAAATTGTAATGAGGACATAAATGAATGTGCGAGCAACCCGTGTAAAAATGGTGCCAACTGCACTGACTGCGTCAACAGCTACACTTGTACTTGTCCATCTGGATTTAGCGGCATCCATTGTGAAATTAATACACCTGATTGCACAGAAAGGTACTGCTCCCTTTGGCCTTAATATTGGTTTTGGGTTTAAGTATATGAATGGTTTATATAGACTTTGTCTCTCTACTAGCAAAAGTGTACTTATTTGTGGGTAAGAAGGATCACGATTGCCACAATTTTGAATACGTATGTGCTAATCAGGTTTACAGACCTTGTAATTGGCTAACCTTGTCCTAAGGGCGGGCTTACAGCAGAATAATGGTTAGCAGCTGAGAGGAACAGATCACTAATTTAGTTCAGGTTTATTTATAAAGTTTAACATTGAACAGTTTTTGGCCTGTAACATGTTACAGTCCCTAGTGTCAGTTTCTGGAGCTGGAATAGATGGGCAAAGGGACAGGATTTAAATGGTCAGTCTACCCAAATTGATATTTTACATTTGGGTGGGGCTTACTGGGCCTTCTTTTATGTCTTGGATGCCCCAACAGTGAGATCTTCCTGCCATAATTCCCATTACCGCTCCACTCCATCTTGCGTGTTTGCCTATTTAAGCTAGCAGTGCAGAGATCTTACCAGTAGAGTATCGGAGAGGTAGAAGGCCCTCTCTAGCATCCACCAATACTGAAATATCAGATTTGTTAGGTATGACCTTTCAAATAACTCAGGGATAAAGTTATGCCATAACATTTTGCTTCCTTTTTCCAGCTCTTGCTTCAATGGTGGCACTTGTGTCGACGGCATCAACACATTCACCTGCCTCTGTCCACCTGGCTTTACCGGGAGCTACTGCCAGCATGACATCAATGAGTGTGACTCCAAACCCTGCATGAATGGGGGAACATGCCAGGACAGCTATGGCACGTACAAGTGCACCTGCCCTCAGGGGTACACTGGGTTAAACTGCCAGGTAGGTATTGAAGCCTTTTACTGTTTACCCACATGGACAAAGAGTCTGAATTTAGACATGTTATTTGCTTTAGTGTTTTTGAGTTTTGTGCCTCAACAGTTTTATTTAAATTTTCAACAGAATTTGGTTCATTGGTGTGACTCCTCTCCTTGCAAAAATGGAGGAAAATGCTGGCAGAGGAATAATCTGTATCGATGTGAATGCAACAGTAGCTGGACCGGATTGTACTGTGATGTGCCCAATGTTTCGTGTGAGGTTGCTGCCCTACAGCGAAGTGAGTTGGGGACCCAATAGTGACAAAACCGCTGCATAGAGTTAAATGCCAAACTCCAGCTAAAACTGTTAGGCTTCTATAAAGTGTAAAAGGGCTAGAACATCTGCCAAGTTTTAATCGCTGTTTGTCTCCTTTAGAGAGAGATTCCCTCATTTCCTGGTCTGGTGACAGGGTGTCACAAGGAAAAATTTCATGGAATATCTCTCTGATGCAGTCAGATGCAGCAACAAAAGCACATGTATTTAGTAGAGTTGTCAGGGATGAGAATATGTCCGGTTTTTTTTTGCTGTCTGTGTCTTCCTGTCCCAGTGACAACCACAACATCTCATTTCTTGTCCTGGTGTCATCTGGACAGAATGTGAGGGGAAGTCCCCCTAGTAAGGACACAGCAGTAAAATTGAGAGCTTCTGACTCTCACTCACTTTATGAAAAACTAAAAAAGTTTTGGCTAGAATTAGGCCATAATAATGAATACCAACTCGGGTCATTCTCTGTACAAGTCACCTTTACCTACTCTAGTCCATCTAACATGACCATTGTTTCTTTTAGATGTGGATGTTAACAATCTGTGCCGCAATTCCGGGTCATGTAGGGACACTGGGAATACTCACTATTGTTTGTGCCAGCCCGGTTACACTGGTAGTTACTGCGAGGCGCAGGTGGATGAATGCTCTCCCAGTCCATGCCAGAATGGAGCTACATGCACGGACTACCTAGGAGGCTACTCCTGTGAGGTATACCATCTCTTTGATGTTTTACTAACATTATAAAACTGAATTCCTGACATGTCGGTGTAATCGTGGCAGAGAGATGCGATCAGCTGACTATGTGTTTGTTTTTGCCTTTTCCAGTGCGTAGCTGGATATCATGGTGTTAACTGCTCAGAGGAGATCAATGAATGCCACTCTCACCCTTGTCAGAATGGAGGAATTTGTATTGATCTTATCAACACTTACAAATGCTCCTGTCCCAGAGGAACGCAGGGTGAGTCAGAAAACGATCCCATTGAAATTCTGTTAGAATATTACATTTCTTTATGGATACCCTCTGTCCATAGAATGTTACTTTCTTACACCTATGGTGAAAACCACATACAAAGAGTGTTCTCTTGCTGACAGCAGAAAAAAATATGTATGCTTGCAAAGTGAACCAGTTATTCTGAATGATTTAAAAAATCTAAATTTCCACATTTCATAAAGTGCTTTTTTTTGCAGGCGTTCATTGCGAAATTAACATTGATGACTGCAATCCATCTTATGAAGGACCCAACCAAGAGCCTAAATGTTTTAATAGCGGCAAATGTGTTGACCGTGTAGGTGGCTACCACTGTAACTGCCTGCCAGGTTTTGTTGGCGAGCGCTGTGAAGGAGATGTAAATGAATGCCTGTCTAGCCCTTGTGATGCCCGCGGAACGCAGAACTGCGTGCAGCTCATTAATGATTACCAATGTGAATGCAGGCAGGGGTTCATGGGTAAGACACAACCCTCATGCATTTGTGGAGCTTTATGGTCTAGTTATTGTGGGCTTTCAAGTTTACAGCGTGTTACTTTCCCCTCAGGGAGGCGCTGTGAATCGTTGCTTGATGGCTGCAAAACGAAACCCTGCAGGAATGGAGGAACCTGCGCTATCGCCAGCAATACGGAACGTGGTTTCATCTGCAAGTGTCCACCGGTAAGTATAGGGGCATAATGTGTGAAGTCTATAGATGGATTAGATCTGTCTTTTAGATTGTAAACCCTCACGGGCAGGGCCCTCCTTACAACATCTTGTCTTGAATTGTATTCTTGAATTCTCTATATTGTAAGGCGCGGCACAAACTGTTGGCGCTATATAAATCCTGTATAATTATAATAGTAATAATGATTAACTTGTTTTGGCTAACTCATACCCCTGCAATGTGAGAAGAAGCAATAAAATACAACCACTGTGTAGCACTGCAGAGCAGGAAATGGAGCCTCCATATGTAATGAGCAAATATGGCAGCCACATGTACACATATAATTACAAATTATACATGAAAATAATGTTTTAGAAATAGTAATCAATAGTGCTAAGACTATTTACATAAAACTGATATCCTTCACTTGAATATCTGCATATTTCCTTTAAATGCACTCTGTGTGATACAATGTCTTTGTTGCAGGGATTTGATGGCGCTACTTGTGAATATGACACTCGTATGTGTGGAAACCTGCAATGTCTGAATGGGGGCACCTGTATATCTACATTAAAGAGCCCCAAATGCTTGTGTGCCGATGGGTTTACTGGTCTAGAGTGCCAACATGCAGTCAGCAGTTCTTGTAATCCAAACTCTTGCTATAACGGTGGCACATGCAAGTCTCTTCCCCAGGAGCCATTTTATCAGTGTATCTGTCCCAGGCATTTTAACGGTCTCTTTTGCCACATTCTGGACTATGAGTTTGAAGGTGGTTCAGGCCAGGACATCATTCCACCCAAAATCAGCGAAAAGTGCGAGAGTGATTGGTGTGCCGCACAAGCCGGGAACAAGATCTGCAATGCTCAGTGCAACAGTAATGCCTGCGGTTGGGACGGAGGAGACTGTTCGCTTGACTTCAATGACCCATGGAAGAACTGCTCGCAGGCACTGCAGTGCTGGAAGTACTTCAATGATGACAAATGCGACTCACAGTGCAACAACGCAGGCTGCCTCTATGATGGCTTTGACTGCCAAACAATTGAAGTCCAGTGCAAGTAAGTAAATTATAAAAGTAAATGATAGCCTAAAATTAAGTTATGCCTAGAAATTCTAGAACAGAATCTAGCTACGTATTGTAGTAACATTGTGTATTAACGCGCAACTCCATAGGTAAAAATTAGAGCTGAAGCCCGTCAATTTTAACAAAAAGTACACTAGCAGTGGGCCCAACCCCCCTCTCCCACACTTCAAGGGTTAAATACTCGTTCAGTCTAGAGGTAGAGGAATAAGGTGTAATACCTTATTCCTCACTCTGTCAGGCTCCCTCCCATCTGTGCGATCAGTCCCCTACAGCATCTACTCTAAGACAGGCCGGCAGTTGCAAGTTGATTTTATCATGTACAATTCAGTGCTGATAACTCTGCACTCCATGCTCTTGCACAACATGGAGTGCCGGAGCCTGCAAGAGCGAGTAAGAAGCTAAGTATTCCACTCAAATGCTTGTTAAATCTAGGGGTAGAGCAATAAACACTTGCAGTGAGGACAGGCCTCACTGCAAGGGAATTTTTTTTTTTTTTTATTCTGGGATTTCAGCTTTAAACATTTTATTATCAGTATTTCATATGTACATATATCAAGTTTTTTAAAAATATCTCTCCTTTCTCCCTCACCTCCAGCCCTCTTTACGACCAGTACTGTAAAGACCATTTCCAGGATGGACACTGTGATCAAGGCTGCAACAATGCTGAGTGTGAATGGGACGGTCTGGATTGCGCCAATAACATGCCTGAGAAACTGGCAGATGGCACCTTGGTGGTGGTGGTCCTTATGACTCCAGAGGAGCTGAAGAACAATTCCTTTAATTTCCTCAGAGAGCTGAGTCGAATTCTGCACACCAATGTTGTCTTCAAGAAGAATGAAAACAATGACTATATGATCATCCCGTACTATGGAAACAAGGAGGAGCTTAAGAAGCATCACATTAAACGATCTGTACCAGAATGGTCTGAGGCCTCCAGTGCCATATTCAGCAGTTTAAGGGATTCCTTGATCCCTGGACGGTATCGGAGGGAACTGGACCAGCTGGAAGTAAAAATGTAAACTAACTTTTTTTTTTTTTTTTTTTAAATCACACATTCAATACTAGCAGGTTCACTAATGGCTGCCACTATGTATGACTAACCCTTTTCCTTTTTTTTCCCCCTAACAGGTCAATTGTATACTTGGAAATAGATAACCGGCAATGTTTCCAGGCTTCATCCCAGTGCTTTAACAGCGCAACAGACGTAGCGGCCTTTCTTGGAGCGCTTGCCTCCCTTGGGAACCTAGACATCCCGTATAAGATTGAAGCTGTAAAAAGTAAGTGGGGTACCAGAATAGAGAAGGACTTATTCCAAACTCTTTACAGTCTGATGACTTAAAATACCAAGCCTTTCATTTTTTGTTCTCCTCTCCCAGCTAGCTAAATAGTATACCTTTTTATGTTTGCTTTTTTCTTTTTTGTCTTCCTTAGATTTTTATTGAGATCATTAATGCTTTAAGGGTGGGGGGAGGGGAAGAGAGAAATTGATCAATCGCATACATGAGGTGGTGGAAACGGTATCTCTAAAATCCCACTTAAATCCTCCGTCTTAACAGCTCAATGAGAGCGCAGTGATATAAAGTTCATTAATCCGTTTTCTTAAAGGAGTAAAGCAAACCTGTCTCTTGATACTGCCGACTGGGGCAAAAGAGAATTTTAACAGTAATTTGCAATTCTGATGAGTAAGATAAAATAACATTATTTTTAGTGTTTTTTATTTTTTTTTTCTCTTCTGAAGAGTGTTCCTTTTTTTTTTTTTTTCTCTTTTATTAACAAATTCCCCTTCATTTTCCTTGTGTCGGCGGTGTGAAATGCAGCTTTAATGTCTGTCTTACCAAGTCTGTCCTGTTTTCCATTAGGTGAAACGGCACCTCCACCACCCAGCTCTCCACTGTATCCTGGCTTGGTTGTTGGAGCGATCTCCCTCCTGCTGATCTTCCTCGTGGCCGGGGTCATCGTGAACAAGAAGAGACGGAGAGAGCACGGGCACCTCTGGTTCCCAGAGGGTTACACAGTGAAAGAGTCAAACAAGTCCAAGAAACGAAGAGAGCCCCTTGGGGAAGATTCTGTGGGTTTAAAGTAAGTGAGAAGATTTGCCTTTTTTTATTAGGGGGAGAGGTGGGATTGAAGGAGTAATTTTTGTTTGTTTGTCACCTAATCTGTTAATACGACTACAGCTTGTCATCTAATTCTGTTCCCTTGAACATTATAGGCCACTGAAGAATGGTGCAGATGGTTCGCTGATGGATGACAACCAAAATGAGTGGGGTGATGAAGAAACGCTGGACAGCAAGAGATTCAGAGTAAGTTTTTCCTGAGACATCTGCAAATTGTACAAATTTTTTTTCTTGGGACATTACAGTATAGAAATATAGATATATTGGTTGTGTGTTTTTATACTAATTTTGTCAGGTTTTATGTTTAGTTTTTAGACATATTCAAAAGGCCAGCTAAACACAAAACTAGTATTTTTAGTCTTTGATTGTTGTCTAGTTAAATCACATATTGGGTTTACATAACAGTCAGGAACTACAGTGCTATGATCTTCTTGCCATAAAACTACTTGACTACTGTGGCCATCACAAAGCCAAAGAATGGTGTCACCCTTCCCTGATGACTTCTCCCTAATATAGACGTAACAAATGTGTGGGGAGTACAGCAGTGTAAGGGCTTTACATTCTACGTGGTCTTATAGGAGGGGCAGAGACACAAACTACTGCAGGAAACTTTCACCATTGTGGGAGGGGCAGAGTCACAAACTACTGCAGGAAACTCACCATTGTGGGAGGGGCAGAGACACAAACTACTGCAGAGAAATCTCGCAAATGTAGGAAGGGCATGGACCTAAAGTTCTGTGGGGAAATCTCATCAATGTGGGAGGGGCAAAGATGCAAACAACTTTGGGGAATCACTCATCCTTTAGGAGCCAGAAGAAGCTCTGCAGGGCTGTTCAACACATCAGTTTCCACTTACAACCAGCATTTCAATTTTAAACGTAGCTGCCGTTAAAGTGCTAGCATTCTGGTATTGTGACATCCTGGTAATCAGTGTTTTTGTTCTGCTAAGTTTGAAGATCAGGTGATGCTTCCTGACCTTGGAGATCAGACTGATCACAGACAATGGACTCAACAACATCTAGATGCAGCTGACCTCCGAGCTCCATCCATAGCACCCACACCGCCACAGGGAGAAATCGATGCTGACTGTATGGACGTTAATGTACGCGGACCAGGTACGATGACCATTCAGATGCATTTTTTTCCTTTTAAAGTATAAGGGTTACCAGACCAAAGCAATGAAATGGCTTGTGTTATAATTTGCCTTTTTGGCTAGTGTCACTGGTCTATTGCATGGTATACAATTTTATGTAAAGATCTTACTTGGGGTAAAATGTGACGAGCACTGGTTTCATTCTATAGGTAACTGTGTTTGTTGACCCCTTTTCAGATGGTTTCACGCCACTCATGATCGCAGCATGCAGTGGAGGAGGCTTGGAAACTGGCAACAGTGAAGAAGATGAAGATGCTTCTGGGCAAATGATCTCGGACTTTATTGGGCAGGGTGCCAACCTACATAGCCAAACTGACCGCACCGGAGAGACGCCACTCCACCTGGCTGCCCGATATGCCAGAGCAGACGCTGCCAAACGTTTGCTGGAATCCAGTGCAGATGCCAATGTTCAGGATAACATGGGGAGGACTCCTCTTCATGCTGCTGTAGCAGCAGATGCCCAAGGCGTATTTCAGGTATGATAAATCTTTTGTTTTTAATAATGGTGGGTTTAGGGTTTGGATTAAAGGAAAAGTGTATTTTTGTGGAGCGCTCATTCTGAGTTACTTTTATGAAAATATGACCTTATTAACTTGTGGTGCGATTGTTCACGTTTGCTATTGCCATGTTTTCATGCTGGCTCTCGTATAGAGATCTGTAGAGTCTTTCCAAATATCAGAGAATAAACTCTGCAACCCAGCTAACCAGTGGCTGACATAAACATGGAAGGTCTGTGGTCCTCAGTCACTCTAATCAGACTGATAGACTTGCAGTGGGAGAAACCATAAAGCGCGGTCACTGTGTAGCAATATACAGTAAACAGACCCTGCATAAAAAATGCATAAATATGACTGTCCCATGTACACATATAACTGCAAACATATAATTTTTTTCACTGAATTTCTACAGTAAGCAGATTCTAATGTCTACTTTTTATTAGACATTAGAATTTGTTTAGCTTAATGTAGAAATTCTTACTGAAGTGAAAAAAAATGCAATATAAAGGCTGTCATTTCTAAATTCCTTCTGAAAATCCTAGCTGTTTGCCTTCAATATTTTGAGTGGGTGGTCTAGAGCAAGCATACAGCAAGTGAAACCAGAACCTCCAAAGTCCATACTTCTCATTTGTGAAAGTTTAGAAGCCTGAGGGCCATCTTAACAGCCAGATAAATGCCATACTACTTTTGTGGAATCATTGATATTCAAGACATATATTTTTTTTTTATTTGTTTGAAACAGATTCTTATACGTAACAGAGCAACAGACCTAGATGCCCGTATGCATGATGGCACAACACCACTGATCCTGGCAGCTCGTCTGGCAGTGGAAGGCATGGTTGAAGAACTTATCAACTCCCACGCTGATGTGAATACAATCGATGAGTTAGGTGAGGATCTGGTGATCTGCATCTCCTTTGCATGCTGCGATAATTGATTTGGCATGTTTGGAGAAATTTTAATTTCTGATGTAATTTTTAAATTCATTTTCAGGAAAATCTGCTTTGCATTGGGCCGCAGCAGTAAATAATGTGGATGCTGCAATGGTCCTGCTGAAGAATGGTGCCAACAAGGACATGCAAAACAATAAGGTATGAGCTGTTGGAAATAGAGAATACTTTCTTTTAGTTGTGGATGGGGCCTTGTGTGTATGCATATGTTTGGGTATGAATAAATACACCTATAATAGAAATAAATGGACTTATAATTAAAATATCATTTTTGGTTGGACCGGCCCTTTAATTATGTCACCTAGTGCAGTTTATTTTTGCTTTTTCTTGTGACTAAACGGTGTCCTTTAAAAATAGTTATGTAGCACACTATTTTCAACACAAATATTAGGGTTATTTATTGGGGATATGATTTATTTAATTTATTAAGCACAATGTTCACAAATAGATTTAACCCCTTCGTGACTGACGACGTACAGTGTACGTCGCCAGCTTGATAATACATTTTAGACAAAATAAATATCCCATACCACCCTCTTAGTAATTTGAACTTTCCATATTTGCAGGAGGAGACTCCGTTGTTCCTGGCAGCAAGAGAAGGAAGCTATGAAACTGCTAAGATGCTGTTGGATCACTTTGCAAATAGAGACATTACTGACCACATGGATAGGCTTCCCCGTGACATTGCCCAGGAACGCATGCATCATGACATTGTCCGGTTACTGGATGAATACAACCTGGTGAGGAGTCCTCAGCTGCACAACGGTCCACTGGGTGCTCCAACCTTATCTCCTCCCATCTGTTCCCCAAATGGCTATATTGGGAATATGAAACCAGCAGTACAAGGGAAAAAGGCTCGAAAGCCTGGTGCCAAGGGCCCTGGTTGTAAAGATTCCAAAGATATGAAGGCCAGGAGAAAAAAGTCTCAAGACGGAAAAAACGGACTTCTGGATTCAGGAAGCTCTGGGGTGTTATCTCCTGTTGACTCATTGGAGTCACCTCATGGGTATTTGTCAGATGTCTCTTCTCCTCCTCTGATGACCTCTCCATTTCAGCAGTCTCCTTCAATGCCTCTCAACCACCTCACCAACATGCCAGATTCTCATATTGGCCTGAATCACCTAAATATGAATGCCAAGCAAGAAATGGCTGCTGGTTCTAATCGAATGTGCTTTGAGACAATGGCGCCCCGTCTTACTCATCTCTCTGTGTCTAGTCCCAGCGCTGTTCTAAACACTGGCTCCTTGCAGTTTACAGTGGGAGGTGCACCTGTCATTAATGGGCAGTGTGACTGGCTAGCAAGATTGCAAAATGGGATGGTAGCAAACCAGTACAATCCTATGAGGAGTAACCTCCAACAAGGTGGTAACCAACAAGCATCAGCCCTTCAGCATGGTCTGATGACATCTTTGCACAACGGTTTGCCAACAGGTCTGACACAAATGATGACCTACCAGGCCATGCCAAACACGAGGATGACCAACCAATCTCAAATTCTCCAAGCGCAGCAGATACAACAAATTCAACAGAGTTTACAGCTGCAGCAACAAAGTATGCAGCAACAACAACAGCAGCAGCAGCACAATCCAAGCTCTGGATCTGGCAGCCATATTGTTGCTCCTTTTTGTGGAAGTGATATGGCCCAGTCAGAAATGCAGCAGATGACAGGTAATGGCCTACATGCCATACTCCCCCAGGACACCCAAATCCTGACTGGCTCACTGCCAGCACCTCTCACGCAGTCTATGACGACTACTCAGTTCTTAACGCCACCATCTCAGCACAGTTACTCCTCCCCGATGGACAACACTCCAAACCATCAGTTACAGGTGCCTGATCACCCATTTCTGACACCATCTCCTGAGTCACCGGACCAGTGGTCAAGTTCCTCCCCTCATTCCAATATGTCTGATTGGTCAGAGGGTATATCAAGTCCGCCTACAAACATACAATCCCAGCATAATCACATTCCAGAAGCTTTTAAATAAACTGCCGAGACTAGACCCTTAAAGACAGATT